TGGAGAATGAGTATATATGTGTGACTAATACGTCCTACTTTTTTATTTCTAATCACATGCTCATGTGTTTCCAAAAATTCAGTGTCTGGGCTGAAAACAAGGGGAAAATGTTCATGTTTGGAATAGATGTTTGGATTTATTTTTTTTATTTTAATATGTTTTTTAGTCTGAGATGTCAAATTAACTTTCTAAAGCCAAGATTTAATATTGAATTTGATCTTGTTATTTTTCAAGTTCTTCTGTTGCATCCTCAGCCTGGTTGGGCTTTCCTGGAGTGCTGTCACTCAGCTGGCCAGGATGGCTGATGCTTTTTTATTTCTGAATGTCACATTTCTGGCAGGTTTAATGTGTTTGTCTGGCTGCGAAGTCAGAAGGAGGCAAAGCGTTTCCATTATCAGCAGACCTGAAACCGCTCCTTCCTTCTAAACCCACACTTCACAGAGCTGATGCGGCTCATCCCCACTTCTGCTATCAACCGGTGAAGAACCTGCAGGGCTGTAGCAGCCGTCATAGCTCACACAGCCCAGGACACCCATCCCCTGCAGTCTGTTTGCACCATACCACCGAGCTGCTGGGCACGCTGAGTAAGTTATACCACTGCTGAGTTACCGAGTCACTCTTCTCCAACACACCCCATTTTTACCACAAACCTCAACTCTGAGTATAGCCATTTGCTAGAACTGGACTCTGCAAGACAAGAAGAACAGCAGAGGAGCAATAAAATGTAGTGGGGAAGACCAAAAACCTAACCAAATCAAACCAAAAGAAAAGAAAAAAAAAAAAAAGAAAGAAAGAAAGAAAGAAAAAAGCACCATCACCAAACTCAAACCAGCATTTCACTCTGTATATTAGTGAACAACTAAAGCTTGGTAGCCCATTATGAGAGAATCTAACTCAGCTTTCTGACACTGTTTAAGTCTTAGGCACCATTCATGTTTACAGAGCAGAATTAAAACCTTCTGTAGTAAGTTATGAGCTTTTCCCTATTGACAGAAGTGAAAAAACGAGAACTAAAATGAAATCAGCTGGCTGTTACTCAACCTCCTCTGTCCAGCTGGATCCAGGAAAAGTGTTAAAATGAGCCCTGCAATTTTCCTTCCCTGCACTTTGAGTCTGATTTTCAGTTTGAAAAGAAAAAAAAAAAAAAAGACACCTGAGAATGTTCTTAAATGCTCTCTGTGACTGCCATCAAAGGAGTTTTCTACTTTGGAAAAAGAGAGAGAGCCTTGTCCCAGAATGTGCTTTTGCCAGGAATCCTGTCCTGATTAGGCTGCCTTGGAGCGATTTCTTGGGTGGGTGCCATGCTGAAGTTGTTGGACGGCAGCCATGTGTTCAGCACTCTAGAAATAAAGTCTATTCCGTTAATTTGCAACTCAACATAAAACTCGGGTTAAGTCTATTGATACTGCCGGAGGGTGGGGCCAACATACATATGTATGCAATTATTTTCAGGATATTGCAATGAGCACGTATATGGTCACACAGAAGTTGCTCTGAAGTCGAATACTAATGTTCCTTGGGTATGCATATTGCCCCCGTCTGGTTTCTTCATTTGCAAACTATCCCAAATTCAAACCTCCCCACTGGTACTGATGAAAATGTTGGATAATCCATACCTTTGAGTCAGCTCCTCCCAAAGACAGCAAAGTGGCCTCTCCAGCCCACATGCTCCTTACCTCACAGCACAGCAGTAACTCAGCAAAGCACTTCAGTAAATGTTTATACCCAAGCCTGCTAGACTGAACACAACATCTTCGGCCAAATTCAAGTGCATTTCTGAGCCTAAACATGTTGGAATGAAGCGTGTGGAAGAATGCCTTCTCCAGGATCATTTTATCGTGACCCGGACACCAGGAGGTGGGATTTTTCTCTCCCTCCCTTGGAGGGGAGGTTGTCAGCGTTTCCCATGCACATTTTGCAGATTCATAAGGGAGGGGGAGGATAAAACCAGGTGGACTCCACATTGGAGGAAATTCATACCAGCTTGTATGTTTTTCTGTATAACACACATCAGTCCTCAGAGATGTTAGCTTATTCTTCTTCACTCACAAACTTTCGACTCCATAAAATGGTTCACTGAGACCATCCATTCACTTTCAAACCTCACGTTAACTCCTGCAGGGTTCCCTACCAGGTCTAGGCCACCTCCATAAAGTGCAGAGAGGTAGAAGTGCAGAAGAAAGTGTGTGAATCCAGAACAAAGACCATGGATGATACTCCTGTCCTCTTCCCTCCGGTCTCCCCCCAGACCCAGATCTCTCATGGACAGCCACAGAACACCTGTGCACGTCAGAGCAAAATCCCATGCAAGTGAGGTCCAGCATGTAGAGCTAAGTGAAAGATGACTCTTTAGTTGCCCAGGGTCCTAATCTAAACACTATCCTTTATTTTCAATGATATCTTATATACACACGTATATATAGATATATATTTAACTTTAAAACCACAAAGTGACATAAGTTATTCTGCAATTGACTTGGGGTCTATGAGACAGAGAGAAGTTTATCTTTTAACACTGAAGATGTATTTAGTACTCTGTAATTAACACCAAAATGGTAATTACTAATTTTCAGATAAAATTAACTATGGTTCATTGGGAAAAATTATGCATTCTGTTGAATATATAATTATATCTATTCTAAAGCAATCACTGCTGATATTTACATATTGCGGAACGGTTGCTGAGAATGTGACCTAGTTGGTAATAAGAAGCGGTTTTGATTTTGAAGAGTATTTATTCCATATGCTATTGTACCTGAATGTTAATTTCCAGGGGGAGTATCTACATGCTGGGTAAACTATCAAATCACTTCTCATTTTTCATCTTTCTCTTTCCATCTTTGTCCCCAGACTATGCAAGGCCAATGATCTGAAGAATTTTGCTCAGCATTTTGCTATAGGAACTTTCCAAACGGCTCTGTGCCGTGAGGACTAAAAAGGGGTTTTGGTAGCAGCAGTTGGAGTCTAAAGCAGATCAGTGCCACATAAAAGGTACAAATGACACGGGAGAGCATGAGTCATTCTCCTTAATCTACACCGAGATGCTGAGTTCAAAGCACAGAAAGGTCACTGCTTCTTTGCACGCAGATGACAGTACAAAGTGATCCAATTGTCATCTTATTTCTCTTTAACATCCACGGCCTCTGTAACGCCACTTTGAATAGATCACATGGGAGAGAAAAACCCCAGCATGCCTCAACTGTATGGGGAATCAGAAGTTCAAGACAGAGAGTAGTGCCGAACCCCATGGAGACAGGCCTCAGAGAACACTCACTGGCACTAAAACGGGATGTTATCACTTCTGGTTCCCTTAAACCTAAAATACACTCTTGTTAGCATTGAAAGGGAGGCTGCCTCATGAGCCTCTGATTTTACAAGATTTACAGGATTTTTGTAAAATTGAGTGTATGAGTGGCATCCTACGTACTCCCTCTAATCTTCTGGAAATTGGAAATGACTGCTACCCATTGGCACCACTCATGTAGTAGTCAGAAGTAATATTCACGAGTAGCCACCGAGTTCCCTCTTAGCACGGAAGGCCATGGGAGGAGGGCTCACACACAGCCAGCAGTGGGACACCATGCGAATGGGGATCCACCAACTCTGGTGTCCCACTGGAACACTTCTGCATTAAAACACTGCTGTGATAAAACCATGGAATCACAGAATCATCTAGGTTGGAAGAGACCTTCAAGATCACCGAGTCCAACCTCTGACCTAACACTAACCAGTCCTCCAGTAAACCATATCCCTAAGCTCTACATCTAAATGTCTTTTAAAGACCCCCAGGGATGGTGGCTCAACCACTTCCCTGGGCAGCCCATTCCAATGCCTAAAATTGGAATGCAAATAAAATAATTAAAAAAATACAATTTTTATTAAAATTAAATTTATTAAAATTAAAGATTTTAATAAAATTAAAATGTTTAGTCAAAGCTAAAACATGAAGTGGGAGCATACTGCTTTTGGTTCTGATTTTAATGGGGAGGACTTCTGCATGTAGGGCAATCTGGTTGCATGGCCCAAGGAAAGACGGTAGGATTGGGAAAAGGGGAAAGCAATTGTGTAAAGGCAGCCACCACACCAATCTGTCCACAAGGAAAACGGATTTGTTTTAGAGCTGGGCTGTTCTCCTGTGATAAAGTGGGAAGGCACATGGAGCCTGGTAAAAACAAAACCAAAAATAAACGTGAATAATTATATACAATCAGCCTCGTTTGCTCTGGAAATTTGTTTCACCACTGATGGCTTACAATGATCAAATAGGGTAAATACCAGAGTTTCAAGCTAATACAGTGCCCTCAGTTACACCTGATGAGACATTCCTTTTCCTCCTCGGCTCCCATCATCATCTTGACTGACCTGGGTAGTGATTGCTGAGCTTCAATTCTCTCTTGCAAATCAAACAGCCTCCCTAAAACATCCCCAGGGAAGAGCATACTGCCCCAGCCTAGGTTACATGAAGCACGTTTCTACAGGGAGTGGAAGTGTTTCTTTAGAAACCTGCCATCACCACCCTTGTGCAATGGCAGCACTGCAGACACAGAAGGTTTTGCATGTTGTTCCGAGCTGTGGAAAAGGTTTCAGGCACCCAGCATAGACAACGAATAACCTTCATCAACACAGAATTGGAGCCTTCATCTTCTCTTTTAAGGACTAAACTTGCCACAGCACAAGCACACTGCTATTACCCCTTGATGCCAGGATTTCCTGGATCCCCCTGGCTTCCCACATCATTTATAGCAGCCTTTTGCACAGCTACCAGCCGTAGCACCCAAGGAGTCCTTTAGCCACTGAGGCTTGCTGAAAAGCTGTGTAAACTGGCCTGACTTTCCTCTCTGTTATGTACTAGATAAGAGAGTAAGGGCAGGGAGCACGATCCATGCCTTTCCCTGACAATGCGACTAGGAAAGAATTCATAGTTGAGAAAGAATTCTTGCCTTCCTGACCTCATGGAGTACTGCAGCTTCCTTTCACCCAAGGAAAAGCCCCGTGCTCACCTCTTTGCTCATCAGAGACTCGGTTTGGTATCTCTGTGACTGGAAATCCTCATTGACTGCGGAGCCATTGCCAATATTTGGACAGCTGCTCTCTGCTGTGCTCTCTGGAGAGAAAAATGACCAATGTTTCTGGGGATGATGGAAAGCTCATCAAGGGCAGCGAGTGTCTTGCATTAGTGCATCTCACAGGAATGCTCCCCCTGTGTTTTGGTGCAAGCCCATAAACCCAGCCCAGATGGTGATGGCCCTGTTGGTCAGCTTCCCTTGAACAGCTCTGCCCTCAAGTTTCCACAAACTTACTCAGAGACGTAAACACAGCCAGAATCAGGGACATATTTTTCAACTGCTCCTCTTAATATCAACTAAGTAGTGCACAGCCAGAGCTTCATAGAATGTAAACTTAACTACTGAATTTATTAAAAAAAAAAAAAAAGCCCCCACCAGCACACAGTGAAAACACACCAAGGTGCTCTTACCTTTTGCCTTCAGCTCTCACTGTATTTCAGTGCCACTCTGCTTAAGGGTGACGCGCTATTTCCATAATTAATCTCGTTTTTCAAAGATGTGTAGCTCATCTACTTCAGTTCCCAGGGGGACTGGAAGCAACTTGCAGTGATCAGCTTTGCTATGACTTTTTCCTGTCTTTATAAAATGGGTTACTCAATCAACCCTCTTGTTGCCTCTTGGAGAAGGAGCACTTACTCCCTCCTCCCACACCACTCACAAGGTGCTGGGCCCATAGTTCTAAGGGAATAACACAGATCTTTCTTAATCAATGCAAAAGCCTCAAATGATTTTGCCCTGAGAGAGTGGGATTTTGCTTTTGGTGGAAATGAAGGCACAGCTTTGACAATGCAACTTTAGATGAGAGTGCAGGCACACTGCTTCAGGAGCAGGGGTCTACAGCTGCAACGTGCAAACTGATTTCTCCGGAAAGAAGCATTCACACTTTTGCCATCCTGTTGCCTTCCGTCCTTTATTAATGTGTGTTCGGAAGCAATCTGTCTCATTTAGAGAGGAATAATAGGGTAGCATACTTTAATGGATCATTTTGTTAATAATCATGGGAGAAGATGAAATATAGCCATGCACTGCACGTAAATAACAGAAAAGGAGGCTACTGTTATCATGGCAAAGGCAAGGGAAATGTGTGCCAAGTGCCCAATTAATGTAAATCAGCACAGGCTGGTTGATATTAGTCCCCATTTATTCTGGCTGAAGAGCTGGCCTTTGCATCCTAAGCAGGCAAATTGCTGCTAATGGTGGGAGCCCAACTGAGAAAATCAATGCAGCTTTTCTGACTTTTCTGCTCTCTTCCACATGTCTCAGCCGTGACTGTGAAGACTTCTGCGTGACACAACTATTTCTGAGCAACACGACTATTTCTGTCTCCAGTGCATCTCAGTGTGGCTTCACAGGTGAGCAGAGAAGCTGCCCCTATGCTTCCAAAACCACCTCGCTGGCTCTGTGGGGCTCCCTTCCCCTGTTTTTTTCCCAAGGGCTAGAGTTCATTTCTCCTAATGTTTGGAGAAACATTACAACAAGTCCCTGCGTGCAGCCTTGTGGCTGGAGCACGGTGCAAGCAGCGTGCATCCCAATGCTGTAGGACCTCATTCCGGGCTGGGAAGAGCAAAAAGTACGAAGCTGCGGACATCAGGGGAATTGGGTTGTGTCGGACACCCGAACCACAAAACTCCTGAGCAGCAAGCCGGCCGGGGAGAGGAACAAAAGCGAGCCCCCCTCAGCCTCGGGGGTGGCAACCGGAGCCCCCAGCCCCTGTCGGGGGACCGCTGCCGTGCCGGGTGGGCGCGGGGCGGCGCTGCTCCGCTCTGCCGTGCCCCGGGCCGTGCCGTGCGGGGCCGTGCCGGGCCCCCCGGGCGGCGCAGGCAGGCGGGGACATCCCCGCCCCTCTCCCCGCCCGAGGCGAGCGGAGCCCGGCACTGGGCGAGCTGCGGCCGCTGCCCTCCGCAGCGCATCCCGCACAGCCCGGCTCGGCACGGCACGGCCCCTGCCCTGCGCCCCCATCCCCGCCGCGCCCCGCACGGAGAGAGCCAGCCATGGGTAAGCGGGGAGGTGCTGCTTTGGGGGGAGGTGAGCCAAACCCGAGAAGGGGCGTTTTGGGGAGGGAAAGGGCCCCCCGAGTCCTCCGCGCCCCACTCCTGCCCTGCGCGCATCCTGCACGGGGGCGCCTCCAGCCGCGCAGTTCGGGGGAGCCAGGGGTTTCTGCTCCCATCCCCACTGGCTTTTGGGGGACCTCCTCGGGTTAAGCAGTGCCGGGGGTTTGTGGAAGGAATGGGGGGAAAAGCAGCGGATTTGGGCCCGCCCGGCAGCGCTGTACCGAGCGACCGGTGTCTGTCCGTCGGTCCGTACGGGCACTCCGGTGCTGGCACTGCTTCTGGTTTTAATGGAGAAAAGAAGGGAGAAGGAAAAAATATCCATAATTTAATTGCTCAGTCAAAGGAAGCTGCCAGAATTCCTTTGGTTGCTACTTGGTCAAATTAATTTGCATCGCCTAGCTCCGTAGTTTCTAAACGCTCATTAACTGGTTTGTTCCCTAGCTCACAGAAGATCAGGCTCCCATAGCACTGAAGTCTTTTCACTGAGCTTTTCTTAACTTTCCAGTGCCCCTCTAAGCACATGCTAGAGCCTGGGTCCTGCTGCCTCTTCAACTCTGAGCGCTGGAGTAAAGAGAGTGGCTGAATTGTCTGTGCCAGAAAGCTTGGGCTCTGCCTACCTGATCTGCTACTCACTTTTTGGACTGTTTTTACTACATACACCTTTGAAATTGATGTTAAATGAAACTGTAAAGTTGACTGCCTCTCCATGTCTCAGTTTACTTCCCTTAACAGAACCTTTTACTTCACTGCCACGGACTCATGTCAAATAGATCTTCTTTCTCCTCTTCCATCCCCGCTCCAAAAGTTTTCTGCTATCTTACTACGAGAAGTGTATTTGTCAGATTATAGTATTTTATTCGGGGATGGTGTTGGCACAATCCATTAGATGGTAATATGTATAAAGTTGTTCTCAAGTCTTTGCTGCTAAGTTTGTGAAATGATCTTCCTGCAGTAAATTGCTAGGGATTTGCACATCAAAAAGCTCTTTCAAGTCCTCATAGGTGATTCATCTTGAAGAAGCAAGTCTTTAGTGCTAAAGCCTTAGAAGAACACAAGCGTCGGTTTTGCAAGATGTGGGTCTGTACATAATGTATGGTTTGTGTCCCTATAGAATGTACAGTCCTGGTGAGAAAAGAGGAGTGTAAGGAAGAAAACATTTCTTGAATGTTTTGCTGGTAATAATGGCACAACCCCCCTGTGTCTGCCTGCTTCTTCGCTTAGAAATGCTGTGGGACAGTCTGGCTGTGACCCGTCAGGAGAGGGGGCTTCATGCACAACCTTTAATACTTTACAAAGAGCTCACAAAAAATAAGCCTTTGTCAGCTGGTGAACTAGTCCTTCGTGAATGCAACACGCTGTTTGTGCTAGCACATAAAGACCATTGCCTTGCCGTGGTGCAGGCTGAGGCTGCTCTGGCTGTCTGACCTGGGATTTGTTGGGAGCTTCAGCACTGTATCGAGCTTGCTGATCCTATTGCAAGGATGTGTTTGGCTGTTTCTAATTAGGACCATTTGAATTGTCCTTACTCATGCAAAACTTTTGTGTAAGACTGGCCCACTGAGACTGATCTATTTTTTTATTTTTTCCTTTTTGGAGCTGCTGAGAGCCCACTGCTGCAATTGACTGCATTGGGCTTTTGGCTCACTCAGCACTTCTGAAAGTCAGGCCCATTGTATTTAATTACGGGTTACATCGGCTCTAGGGTTGTCCTTAATAACCACCTTAATAACCCCTCCGTGCACAAAGAACCACCCATTAGCATCTCTTACATTGCAGCACAGATTTTCTCAAATGCCAGGTTTCACCTTGGGAGGCGGGAATATTTTACAAAATGAACAAAAAAAAAAAAAAACGCAAAGTGATTTTGTTCTAAAAATCTAAAAAGCAGTGCACGAATGGCTGTGTGCAAAGCTTCATCCCTTTTCTTTGTGCTTCACCAAACTGTTGATTTCAAGTAAGAAGAGTGGTTGGAGCAGAGCGGGTACATATGCTGTGTTTAGTTGTGTTTTTTTTTGTTTTTTTTTCCAAGTTGCTGAAGCAGACACTGTGTGAATGGGGGGTGAAACTGCCCATCTTCATATGGGTGTGCGCAGGTGTTGTGAGCAACCACTGCCCTGCAGTGCCCACAGACCTCAGGAGGTTCAGATATTCCCCTGGCCAGGGTTTCTCCTTATAAACAGCTGGGGGCAAATCCTGAAAGAAAATCAGCCCTCTTTCTTTCTGTTCAGCTGTATGCTTTGTCCAGGCAGGAGCTGAAATCTTTTGTGTATCACAGTAATAGTAAAATCCGATTAGTATCGGTCATTAAGGGTGGCTAGATTTCAATTGCAAAGTCTTGTCGTCCATATTCTATTAAATCTTGCACCTCTTAAATATATTTAACCTTGTTCCTAATTAAAAAAAAAAAAAGTTGTTATTAAGTTTATCTTCTCTTAAAACCTGTGAAGTATAATTTTTTTTTTTTACTGCGGTCCTTTCCCTATCTCCGCAATGCTTTCTTAGGCTATTAACAAGTGCTTAAATTTGCCTTCTGGCTGTAATCTCTCTTGTCTGAGAAGGAGGTGGAGAAGAAAATGTTGTGCATTTCAGATATTTCCCAGTATCCTAAAAAAATCTGTGGTTTCACCATGTTTACAGGTTCTCTCTCTTCCTAAGCGTGTGGTTTTTATATTACTAATATAGGAAATCTGCTGTCCCTGTGTGAATTATGATATGTCTGATAGATCTGGAAATGTTATGTTTTGGAAAAGCACACTGGGTTATAGATTTTTACCCACTGGAGAGCTGAACTGTGGAAGTGCTTTGATTATCTGTCATCTTCAGTATATTTCTATAATTTCTTAAACCGGTTGAAACCTGTACGTCACTTCCAGTGCTTTAAGCACTTTAAACATTTAATTAATTTTCTCAAGCAAGGTATCTTTTCTCAAGGTTGCTTCTGTGTGTCACTTTGCCAGAACTTGTGGTGTTGAAGCATCATTTTCTACATAGTATTTGTTCAACAGCCTTTGTTTTTCAAGATTATTGCTATCTAAAGTCCTTGCTATCTCACCAAAAAAAAAAAAAAAAAAAAGAGCACTGTATGCAGTGAAATTTCACTGGGGGAGACCTCCTCCAAGAACGTCTTAAATAGTTTGTAGAAACCATGGCATGTTTAACTATCATGTTTAATTCATCATGCAGTTATTCCTGCTGAAATTTCCAGGTTTCTCTTATGGTTCCTCCACTTTCGCATCCTGCTGGATGTGCTGTTAACCCTGACCGAATGCAAATGCACCTGGTGCCCATGACTGCATCTGTCTTGCCTTAAAGGCTGTATGGGTATAGGAGTGATGGAAATCAAAACAGGTGAGTTTGGGTTTGAGCTGTGGTAAGCAAACCTAAGGAAAGAGTGTAATCTCCAGGTGGCAGCAAGGACATAAAAGATGTTGTGTTAAATGAATGGGTCACAGCTGAACCTGTTGGTCTCTGTACAGATGCAGAAACCTGTGTAGGGAACATTTACTGTGTAAATACCCAACATGGGTAAAGGACAAAACAAGGGCAATGGAGTGTTAAGGTGGCCTCATCCAGTTTATACTCAATGGAGCATGTGACCTGGAGGAAGGTGACTCTAAGTGGCAGTGCCAGCGATGGATCCAAACCTCATGGACCTCTTCATGCTTTTCTTCTGCAGTTAGGTGTGAGCATCTGGGCCTAGCTGTACCCTTTGCAATTCCCTGCTACCCATCCCCTATGAGCACAGCAAAGAGCAGTGGGGTACAAGGAAAGGTTCAGCATAACAGGTAGCACTGTATGCAATATTTAGTCCTCACTGTTCTGCTGCTTTCTATTGCTGCTCTGCTTTGGTGCTTTGGCAGTCTCCTTCTCCACAATTACTTGTCTCTTGGGTTTTAGGCTCAAAAGCTTGCATATGGAGCCTTGGCTTGGGAAACACTTGCAAGCAATGAAAAGAACTATGAGAATTCAAGATCTTTTGTTCTCCGTGTTTTTCGAGCTCTTTGACTAGCAGCAATTTCAAAATGTGAATGGAGCTTATGTTTCGTTAATAGAAAGATGTGCCTGACAGAGCCATCGAGTGATGCAAAACGGTACTTTGCTGTGTGCCGTTTATGTTTGCTTTATGCTTTGATATCTGAACACGCGTGATGCTTGGAAATTTTAACCTAGAGGAATACATAAAGAAAACAACTTTCCAGGAGTGTGTTTGTGCTTCGTGTTTGTTTATTCTTTTTGCCTGGAGTGGAAACATTTTGGAAAGGACTGTGATTCACAGGCAGTGAGAACATGGGTCATGAAAACTGAACTTACTGAAGGCACAAACTTATTTGGAGTATCCAGTTTAAGACACAACACTCATAACTTGGTGTTTTTTATTAAGAGCACGGAGAAATCATTGCATGTTGCAGCCTCAAAATCTGTCTTCATGCATGTTCCTTTGGTGCCAGGGAAAACAAGAATTTTGCCCAGGTTGAAGCCATACACATAAGTGG